TGCGATCGATGTTGTTCAACTCTCTTCAACTTCTTTACTCAACTCTTCTACTTTAACATTCATGAAGGAAGCTGAAGGAGACTTCCCGCGAGACGGCCCGCGAAGGCTTATAAATTATGTTGTACGGGATTGGATAGCCATTTGGAAGATCACAGCCCGCGCATGACAGGCCCACCGTGACCCGCTCAAGGATGAGCCCGCTGTGGTACGAGACGGAATGGGACGGAAAAACCCAATTGCCATCTCTACTTATTAGGCCCATTAGTCAGGCAATAATCCTAGAAAAAAACACAAGTATAAATAACGTCTGAAGCCAAATCAGCTACAACCCTAGACGTCTTTCAAGACAGTGAGACAAAACCTAAACAGCGAAATGGCCTCCTACGCCGCTCGTCCCCTCGTCACTGTCCAAGCCCTAGACAGTGACATGACCACCGATCACTCCTCAACCGTCGTCCTCCCCGCCGTCATGACAGCCCCCGTCCGTCCCGACATGGTCAACTTCGTCCACGCCCAAACCTCCAACAACAGCCGCCAACCCTACGCCGTCTCCACAAAAGCCGGTCACCAGACCTCCGCCGAGTCGTGGGGAACAGGACGCGCCGTCTCGCGTATCCCTCGTGTCCCCGGAGGTGGAACACACCGTGCGGGACAAGCAGCCTTCGGTAACATGTGTCGTGGCGGAACCATGGCCTTTCCAAACAAGGTTTATCGGATTTGGCACAGACGTGTTAACGTGAACATGAAGAGACACGCGATCGTGTCGGCTATTGCCGCGACAGCTGTTCCCGCTCTTGTGATGGGACGTGGACATAAGATTGAGAATGTTCCGGAAATGCCCCTTGTGGTGAGTGACTCTGTTGAAGCCGTGGAGAAGACGTCAGATGCTATTAGGGTTTTGAAACAGGTTGGTGCGTATGATGACGCTGAGAAGGCGAAGGAGAGTATTGGGATTAGGTCTGGTGTGGGGAAAATGAGGAACAGGAGGTATGTTTGTAGGAAAGGTCCTCTTGTGGTTTACGGTAACGAAGGTGGGAAGATTGTGAATGCGTTTAGGAACCTTCCTGGTGTTGAGCTTTGTCATGTGGAGAGGCTTAACTTGTTGAAGCTTGCACCTGGTGGTCACGTTGGGAGGTTTGTGATTTGGACTAAGAGTGCTTTCGAGAAGCTTGAGGGTATTTATGGATCTTTTGAGACTCCTTCGGAGAAGAAGAAAGGGTATGTGTTGCCTAGGGCTAAGATGGTGAATGCTGATTTGGCTAGGATTATTAATTCGGATGAGGTGCAGAGTGTGGTGAAGCCGATTAAGAAGGATGAGAAGAGGGCTGTGATGAAGAAGAATCCTTTGAAGAATTTGAATGTGATGTTGAAGTTGAATCCGTTTGCTAAGACTGCTAAGAGGATGTCTTTGTTGGCTGAGGCGCAGAGGGTTGTGGCTAAGAAGGAGAAGCTTACCAAGAAGAGGAAGATTGTCACCAAGGTAAATATCATTTGTTTATTTTTTCTTTTGTCACACTTATTGTTGGTTTATCATTTGTTCACGCTGTTTGAATAATTGTGTCTGTTGTTTTAACATCTGTTATGTGGTCTAGTTGTCTAGAAGTATTGTCTTTAATTGATAGTGTTATGTTTCATAATCTTTCATTTGGCATGACTTTTGCTTTTATAGTTCGTGTGTTAGTGTTTGTCTGAATCATGTCTTTGTATATTTGTTGCAGTAAAAGTTTTCTTGTTCGGAATTTAGAGTTTTCTCTAACTTTGTTTAAAACTCTTAAATATTACAGGAGGAGGCATTGGCAATCAAAGCAGCAGGGAGGTCGTGGTACCAGACTATGATCTCAGACAGTGACTACACCGAGTTTGACAACTTCACAAAATGGCTCGGTGCTAGCCAGTGATATAGTATCATATTCTTAAATGATTTTCATATTGGATTTGCATCTCTTTGGTCTTTTTTTTCGTAAACATAGTTCAGCTTTGGACAAGTTTCATTTTTCATTTTTGGACCTTGATTTCATCAATATAACTATTATTTTTATACATGTTTTTGTTCCTCAAATGAATGCGTGTGTTGTTATGAACTAGGTTTAGTAACAGTTCAAAACTTCATATTACTTATTAGAACTGAATTCTTGATAATATATGGTCTCTAATTTCATAACTAAAAGATTCTTTCCCACCCAAATAATCCATTTGGAGTCATAACTTCAACGTCCATTAGACCAAAAAAAACTTCAATGTCCATCTCATTATTAATTAGTAAAGCTTAATAGTTCTAACTTGAACATCACTTCTTCATCATGCAAGTCTTCTAGACTAGTGGGCACACTTTGTACTCGGATTATACTCGGTACTTGATCCGTACTTGGCTCTTAAAATCGAGTACTCGTTTTGTTCAAGTCGAGTATCAAGCCTTTTATTTCAATTACCTGCAAGTAATGAAAATAACTACTTGGCATTGTTGGCTTATTACTCGTGACTTATTACTTGATTTATTACCCGTCTTTTATTTTTAGACAAAAAAAAATCTCTAAATTATAATCAAACTATTTGTTTATAAAATAAATGAATTAAAAGTGATATATTATAGATAATATTTTAGAATTTTATTTTAATTTTATATTTATCATATATCGATTTAAAACATATGAAAAAGACCAATAAAAAGATATTATTTGCTTCCAAAAATGATAATCCGTATTTAGAATGTTTGAACTTGGGAGAGACTGTAGCAAAATGCCAACAAAAATATATTATTTGATTCCAAAAATGATAAGCCTTATTTAGAATGTTTTGACTTGGGAGAGACTGTAGCAAAAGGCCAAAAAATATAAGCCGTATATAGAATGTTATTATTTTATTCCAAAAAATATAAGCCGTATATAGAATGTTTGGAGTTGGGAGGTCTATAGCAAAAGGCCAATAATGATATATTCCCCCAATTTTATATTAAGTGTCAATTTAACTTTGTGGATATAAATTAAGTAAACAATTAATATTACATATTTTCTATATAAAACATAATTATTTATACACTTAATTATATTTCAACCAATAAAAAATAATTATAACATAAAATTAATAAATTTTACACTAAAAATTGAAAACATGTATTAATGTCGAGACTTGGCGCCCAAGGAATTGTAATCTTAGTTAGGCTAACTAGGCCTTATTAGGCCCATTAGTTGGTCAATAACCCAGAAAAAAACACAAGTATAAATAAGGGTTAATTGGTGAGATAGCCAATTTTAGAGAGATAATTAAGAATATAGCATATGATTTGATATTATTTGATCCCATAGCATTTTGTTCTTATTTTGCCGGTTCTCTCATTTTTCTAAGCCAGTTACCTGTAACAAAAGCATATGTCATTTAAAAAAAAATAAAAAATAAAGAGATACTAGATTAGTGGTGGTTATAGTATCCACGTTGATTATGGTGATAATAGATAAACAGAATAGAACATGCTAAATGGTATAGTTTATATTAATTAAATATAAAATGATATAAATATAATAATATTATATATATATCCAAAATTAATAAAATTAACCGCAACATCCAGATTTTCTAAAAACTAAACCCTAAACAATAATCACTAAACCCTAAAAGGAAATGTAAACCCTAACCCAAATATCAAAATATGTGCATAGTACATAAAATTAAGTATTATCAAAACAAAATAGTAACAAACAAAATATCATAGTACATAATGGATAAATTTTAAAATATTTATGACTGCAGAGAATGAAGTAGTCTTACCCCAAAATCAACCTAAATCTTCTACCAACTAAACCTAAAACACTAGTTACTAAACCCTAAGAGAAAATATAAACTCTAATCCGAATATCAAAAATGCACATAATACATCATATGAATCATTATCAAAATGGAATAGTAACAAACAAAATAGCATAGAATATATTAATGTTCAAATTTTAAAATATATTTGATTGCAAAGAATGAGGTAATATTTATACTAAAGTCAAACCATATCTTCTATAAACTAAATCCAAAACACTAGTCACTAAACCCTAAAAGGAAAATATAAACTCTAACTCAAATATTAAAATATGCACATAATACATAATATGAAGTATTATTGAAATAGAATAGTAACAAACAAAATATTATAGTACATATTAATGTTCATGATTGCAAGGAATGAGGTAATGTTTATCCTAAAGTCAATCCATATTTTCTATAAACTAAATCCAAAACACTAATCACTAAACCCTAAAAGGAAAATATAAACCCTAACTCAAATTTTATGCACATAATACATAATATGAAGTATTACTGAAATAGAATAGTAACAAACAAAATAATATAATACATATTAACGTTCAAGATTGCAGGGAAAAAGATAATGTTTACCCTAAAGTCAATCTAAACATTCCATAAACTAAATCTAAAAAACTAGGACATTAAACCTTAAAAGGAAATATAAACCCTAATTTAATATAAAATATGCATATAATACATAATATGAAAAATTATGGAAATAGAGTAGTAAACAAATGAAATAACATAGTACATACTGTTTAAATAACATAGTACAATGGAGAACTTACAGGAAAATGAGGACGCCACCGTAACGCTGTCTGATCTGTAAATTTTCAAAAGATGGTGGTGACTAATATCAAGGAAATGGTAGTTAACAAAATGAAATTGGTTAATAAATAAAAGCAATGATGATAGTTGGTACTTGGTATGATAGATAAAGATCCAAATGACTAATTTTTTTTTTACAAAAAATGGTAGTGAATTGGAAGAAGTGATGGTGGTAGGTAAGTGAAGAAGAAGTGGTAAGTAAGTGAAGAAAAACAAGTTTGTGTAAGGAGGGGTAATATAGTATATATAATAATAATAGTTAGATACCTAATTACATGTTATTTTATGGCTAGTGAGGCCAATTCCCCTATAAATAACGTCTGAAGCCAAATCAGCTACAACCCTAGACGTCTTTCAAGACAGTGAGACAAAACCTAAACAGCGAAATGGCCGTCTCCTCCGCTCGTCCACTCGTCACTGTCCAAGCCCTAGACAGTGACATGACCACCGATCACTCCTCAACCGTCGTCTTACCCGACATCATGACAGCCCCCGTCCGTCCCGACATGGTCAACTTCGTCCACGCCCAAATCTCCAACAACAGCCGACAGCCCTACGCCGTCTCCACAAAAGCCGGTCACCAGACCTCCGCCGAGTCGTGGGGAACAGGACGCGCCGTCTCGCGTATTCCCCGTGTCCCCGGTGGTGGAACACACCGTGCGGGACAAGCAGCCTTTGGTAACATGTGTCGTGGCGGAACCATGGCCTTTCCGAACAAGGTTTATCGGATTTGGCACAGACGTGTTAACGTGAACATGAAGAGACACGCGATCGTGTCGGCTATTGCCGCGACAGCTGTTCCAGCTCTTGTGATGGGACGTGGACACAAGATTGAGAATGTTCCGGAAATGCCGTGGAGAAGACGTCAGATGCTATTAGGGTTTTGAAACAGGTTGGTGCTTATGATGACGCTGAGAAGGCGAAGGAGAGTATTGGGATTAGGTCTGGTGTGGGGAAAATGAGGAACAGGAGGTATGTTTGTCGGAAAGGGCCTCTTGTGGTTTACGGTAACGAAGGAGGGAAGATTGTGAAGGCGTTTAGGAACCTTCNTTGAGAGGCTTAACTTGTTGAAGCTTGCACCTGGTGGTCACGTTGGGAGGTTTGTGATTTGGACTAAGTCTGCTTTTGAGAAGCTTGAAGGTATCTATGGATCTTTTGAGACTCCTTCGGAGAAGAAGAAAGGGTACGTGTTGCCTAGGGCTAAGATGGTGAATGCTGATTTGGCGAGGATTATTAATTCTGATGAGGTGCAGAGTGTGGTGAAGCCGATTAAGAAGGATGAGAAGAGGGCTGTGATGAAGAAGAATCCCTTGAAGAATTTGAATGTGATGTTGAAGTTGAATCCTTATGCTAAGACTGCTAAGAGGATGTCTTTGTTGGCTGAGGCGCAGAGGGTTGTGGCTAAGAAGGAGAAGCTTGCCAAGAAGAGGAAGATTGTCACCAAGGTAAATATATATCATTTGTTTATTTTGTCTTTTGTCACACTTATTGTTGGTTTATCATTTGTTCACGCTGTTTGAATAATTGTGTCTCTGTGGTTTTAACATCTGTTATTTGGTCTAGTTGTCTAGAAGTATTGTCTTTAATTGATAGTAGTATTGTCTTTAATTGATAGTGTTATGTTTCATTTGCAATTGGAGATTTCATTTTTTGGTATGACTTTTGCTTTTATAGTTCGTGTGTTAGTGTCTGTCTGAATCATGTCTTTGTATTCTTGTTCGGAATTTAGAGTTTTCTCTAACTTTGTTTAAAACTCTTAAATATTACAGGAGGAGGCATTGGCAATCAAAGCAGCAGGGAAGTCGTGGTACCAGACTATGATCTCCGACAGTGACTACACCGAGTTTGACACCTTCACAAAATGGCTCGGTGCTAGCCAGTGATATACTATCATATTCTTGAATGATTTTCATGTTGGATTTACATCTTTTGGTCTTTTTTTCTTTTCGTAATACTAGTTCAGCTTTGGACAAGTTTCATTTTTCATTTTTGGACCTTGATTTCATCAATATAACTATTATTTTTATACATGTTTTTTGTTCTTCAAATGAATGCGTGTGTTGTTATGAACTAGGTTTAGTATCAGTTCAAAACTTCATATTACTTATTAGAACTGAAATCTCGATAATATATGGTCTCTAATTTCGTAACTAAAAGATTCTTTCCCACCCAAATAATCCATTTGGAGTCATAACTTCGATATCCATTTAATTAGTAATTACTAAAGCTTTTTTTTTTGTCACTGAAAATACTTAAATAAAGGAAGGTCCAAAGATGACCATCCCAGGAAGGGTCCATTACAACATAGAGTTTCTTAGAGTAGCTTTTGCTAACGCATCAGCTTCCCCGTTCTTCTCTCTAGGAATATGAAAAAAAACAGAGTGAAACAAATACAGAAGAGAGATTGCGAATGTCCTTGACGATTCCCATGAGCTCTTTCCTCTGTGTCTTGTTGGTGATTGCTCCAATGAGCGTTAAATTATCGGAGCAGATCCAGAGATTTGAGATTCCCTGTGTCGCCGCCGTGTGGAGTCCTTCCCCTAACCGCCAAAGCTTCAGCGATCAGAGGTGAGTTAACGAACTCATGTGTCGTTGATCCCTTCCAACCTATCTCCCCTGATGGATCGGTTGAGATCCAAGCAATCCCTGCTCTGAGGAGGGTCGCGTCCCATGATGCATCCGTTTTACAAACTGTGACAGGCAGGTTAGTCATCGGTAGATCCTTGATCTTGTGTACTTGTGGAGGCATCTGGTTATTTTGAGTCTTTGTCTCCAAACTTTGAGCTGCACACCACTCTCTTGCTAGACTTAGACCTCTTGTTGCCACTGTTGCAGGGTTTACACTTTCTCCTTCGAAGATTAAGGAGTTGCGATCCTTCCATATAGCCCAACATACCCATGGGAGTATACTCTGGGAGACTCCCGATGGTGGAAGGCACACCCCTGACCTGAATCGAACCAGCGCAGCTTTGAAGTCATCCGCCACAGCTATGTGAACTGCTTCTTTGAGTGGTATACACTTCCAGACTTCTTCCGCAAAAGGACATAAGAAAAAGATATGAATAGGAGATTCAACATTCTTACATCTTGGACACAAAGCATCTGAATTAATTCCTCTTCTCTGTAGATTTTCACCCAAAGGCAAGGCATTTTGGGCTATCGACCAGAGAAACATACGCATTTTTGGTGAGCAGGAGGTAGACCAGATATCCTTGATCCAATCAAACTCAGTCGCGGGAAGATTTCTTCTACGATCTTGTGGAGGGGTAACCATTGCGTTGTAACCTGAGCGTGTTGTGTAGATTCCTGATGCTAGAGGTTTCCAGATGAAACTATCTTCAGCTCCACTAAGACTGGGCTTGAGGCATTGGATTTGTTCCGCAAACTCCGGTAAAAATTTCTCAATCATCCTTCTATTCCATTTAAGATCATCAGTGAGTAGGTCGGATACTCTTAGATCTAAAGCCTCCTCTGGAATTGGACCAAACGGTTTAATATGCTCCTCTAAAGACAACCAAGAATCGTTCCAAACCTTTGTAGTTAAACCATTCCCAATCGCCTTTCCTAAGTGTTCCTTAAGTAGATCCCTACCGAGTAGGATTCCTCTCCACCTGTGTGAGCTAACCGAGGGAATTTCCACTTCAAGGAAACTCTGATTGTGACAGTATTTCCCTTTTAGAACTCTAGCTAGTAAACAGTCTGGGACCGTGATAATTCTCCACGCGATCTTAGCTAGGAGAGCTTGATTAAAAATCTGAATGTCCCTGAGCCCTAAACCTCCTTCCGCTTTTGATTAAATGAGTTTTTTCCACGCTACCCAACTCATCTTCCTCTTATTATTAGGACCATCCCACCAGAACCGAGTCAGCACCGTTTGAATCCTTTTATACATACTGACTGGTAACTCAAAGCATGACATTGTGTAGGTCGGAATAGCTGTGAGAACTGACTTTAACATTGTCAATTTTCCAGCCTTTGAGAGGCATTTCGTGGACCAGCTTGCTGCTCGCTGTCTGATGCGGTCTACAATTGCTGTGAAGAGGTCACGTTTTCTTCTCCCAAAATGCTCAGGGACTCCAAGGTATTTCCCTTCTCCCCCTTCTTTATATATTCCGAGAACTACTTTTGCTTCCTCTTTAACACCCGGAGGGGTTTTAGAAGAAAAAGTAATTGCTGATTTAGTTTTACTTATCTGTTGACCCGATGCAACTTCATATTTTGAAAGAATTGCCACCAAAGTTTGACAGGAACTTGCTGTTGCTGAGCAGAAGAACATAGTATCATCAGCAAAAAGGAGGTGGTTTACTCTTGGACATCCTCTAGCCACTCTGATTCCCTGTAAAGACTTGTCTTGTGCTGCATTCTTGCATAAACCCGAGAGTACCTCTCCACAAAGGATAAAAATGTAAGGTGATAGTGGATCTCCCTGTCTGATACCTCTGCTAGGTTTAACTAGGCCATACGCGTGGTCATTAACTAGGTAGGAGTAGGACACAGTAGTGATACATTCCATGATCCACAAGATCCATTTGCTATGAAAGCCTAGTCTTGTCAAAACTCTTTCCACAAAGCTCCATTCAATTCTGTCTTAAGCTTTAGACATATCTGTTTTCACAGCCATTGAGCATTGTTGAGTAGCTTGTGATGTCTTTAGGTACTGCAATACTTCGTGAGTAATTAGGACATTATCTGTGATAACACGTCCAGGGATAAACGCTGACTGATTCTCGGAAATGATAGGATTTAGAACCTTTTTTAGTCTCAGGGACAGCAACTTTGAGATGATTTTATACTAAAGCTTAATAGTTCTAACTTGAACATCACTTCTTCATCAACTGTTGCAAGCTTTCATGCAAGTCTTCTCTCCCTGTGATGATAATTTGTCTCATGAAAAGTCAAAGAAACAAAGGTTAGTCCAGTGAAGTAATAAGGCTTCTAGATATGGGCTTTATAAATAGGCCCAATTGATTGAACCCTAGACGCAAAATGCTTAATTTGTTTGCCACGTGGACAATCCCGCACAATGTAACAAGTTACCAAAAAGAAAAAAAGACAGAAAACAAGAAACCCGTTTCTTTCTGGTTCGGATTGACGTCTTCATTTACTCCAAAGAAACCACCTCCCGCCGCCGAACAACCGCAATCTCAACCTCCACCACCGTAAGGTTTGTTGACCACACACACACTCTCTCTCTCTATCTCTCTCTTCACTGTAGAATAATAGTATTTGATTTTGTTTAGAAATCAAGAAGTAACTAATACCTGATTACATTTCTATTTAGGGTTTTTGTCTTGGTACTGCTTATGTCGACGGAACAAGAAATTCTTCACTCGGAGTCCGACGCTGTTGATGACTGTAAGGCGTCGAGGGTTGAGGTCGGAATGTCTGAACTCCCAGCTGACCCCTTGAGTGGTCAAGATCAAGGCTTAGCTGCTTCTTCAGCTGGTGGTGATCTTGGAATTACCAAGGAAAAAGAATCTGTAAATGGAGGGTTAGATCTGGACTTAGAAACTCAAAACGATGTAGATGTCAAGACTAATAAGGAAGTCTCAGTTAATGGTGAAAAAGATTCTGGTGGGATCCAAACAGAGCTTCTGGTTGAAAAGGAAGTGGAGGGTTCTGATGGCTCAGTAAAGAAAGGAAGAAAAGGTGAGAATTTGGATGATATGGAGTGTTTTATGGGTTTAGAGCCACATGAGAGCAAGGATGAGAGTGCTTTGGAGAATGAAAATGATGCTCCTGTAACTTTGAAAGCGAAGCTCTCTGACTCGGATTTGGTTTGGGCTAAAGTAAGGAGCCATCCCTGGTGGCCTGGACAGGTTTTTGACGCCTCTGCTGCTACAGACAAGGCCAAGAAGCACTTCAAGAAAGGAAGCTTTTTAGTAACATATTTTGGAGACTGCTCCTTTGCTTGGAATGATGCATCAAAGATTAAGCCTTTCCGACAGCATTTCTCTCAGTTGGCAAAGCAGAGTAGCTTACCTGATTTTGTTGATGCGGTTGATTTTTCTTTAGAGGAGGTGTCAAGAAGGATAGAGTTTGGTTTAGCTTGTTCTTGTATCTCAGAGGAAGTCTATGAGAAGGTCAAGACTCAGAAGATAATCAATCCTGGAATTAGAGAAGATTCAAGTAGGATACAAGGGGGAGACAAGGTCTCAAGTGCAGTCTTCTTTGAACCTAAAAACCTTGTGAGCTATGTGAAGCGTCTAGCTTGCTCCCCTAAGTATGATGCTTCTGATGAGTTGGAGTTTGTAAGTCAGAGAGCTAGGTTATTGGCGTTTAGTCGATGGAAAGGATACACTGAGCTCCCTGAGTTTGAGACACTTAAGGGATCAGTAGAGTCTGCACCCAAGGTTTCTCGTACAGAAAAGGAAAGTAGGTTGTCTGAAGTGAAAAAGTCTGCTCCTGAACCGAAAAAGGATAAACAAGTTTATACTAAAAGGAGAAAGACAGAAGGCCAGGATGACTGTAAGCAAGAGGGAGTGTTTGAGTATGAGGACGCAACTGTTCCAAAGAAAAGGGAGAAGACTTTGGCAGAGTTCATTGCTGAGAAACGTTTAAGCAAAAGTAATGGGAAGAAGAGATCACATGAAAATGCGGTTGTGAAGCCGGATGGTGAAAAGAAACGGAAGATTGTGCAGTCTAAGCTTCCCAAGTCTGCTAAAAAGATCAAGACCACCCTGCAGGCAGAAGATTCAGGATCTCCAATTTCTCCCAAGAATGATCAAAAGATTACACCAAAGAAAGCTAGAACAAGTTTTGGGATTGGGGCAAGCATATTGAGAGTAGCAAACCAGATGCATAGTTCAACACCTACTGGTCTTGTACCTTGCAGTAAGAACAGTGGCAGTGGAAAAAGTCTCCAGAACAGACGTAAACCTGTATCATCTTCTGAAACCCCTAATGGGAAAGCCAATCCCATAAGCATAGGCAAACCACAATCAGGCGAACTTGAACATGCCGTTAAGGAAACAGCTAGTACTAACATTGTGGAAGAGTCGATGTTAAAGGAGTCCAGGGACTTGAAAGGCTCTTCTGAAGAACAGATGGTAAATGAAGATGGGAAAGAAGCTGCAAATGTTGTGGGTGAGATGAGTACTGATGACAGCAATCTAACCAAGGAGAAAATCACTGGCTCGGTTTTGAAAGAAGAAATTGTCAACAAGAACTGCTCTGAAGGATCTGTTGGTTGCAAGGAAGTTTCTCCTGCAGAGTAGGGAGGCTCATCTTCAGCTCCTAACGCACTAATGAGAACAAGACCTCCGTTATAGACTCGTCACTGCTGTAGACGATGTTTCTTTTCTTACTAAGTTTAGGATTGTATTGACTATATTTGTATTGACTATAGTTGAGTTTAAAAGAACCTTTCAGTGAGACGACCTTACAAAGTTAATCTTGTTGTTTCACTTTTGCAATATTTACTTAACATTATTTAGATTGATGTTTCAATTGGTTAGGCAGAGATAGGGAAAGGGAAAAAAGAGAGATCATGAAAGCTTCAATATAGAAGGGAATACTTGCAAACTGAATCCACCACAGATGAAACAAAAACAAGTTTAAACCTCAAACACCGGTACAAGTTCCAGATTCTTGAACCAGAACAGAGACATGGGTATCAAAAATCCATTAACAAAAAGCTTAAAAAGACAGTAGAGCAGCTTAAGACCTAGGCTTCTCCTTCTTCTCCTTGAAAAGGGCCAAGAGTGAGACACCAGACACCTTCACCACCTTGAACCTAACTCCGGGAATATCTCCAACAGCATGTCCTTTACGCCCAAATCCAGCAATCAACACTTCATCCTGCACACATCCATCAATAAACAAAAAGATTGTTAGCATTATTACTAACGAAATAAATGATAAATATGAAGCACTTATAATCTAACTTACATTTTCTTCGATGTAGTTCAAACATCCATCATTAGGGACGAAAGCAGCAATTTTTTTGCCGTTCTTGATCAACTGAACTCTAGCACATTTACGAATGGCAGAGTTAGGCTGCTTAGCTTCAATACCACTGCATAATTGAACAACAAGCTCAGTACAAAATCAAGGAAGAAACTGAGATGCGTTGGTAATAGAGAAGTGTAAAGTCTTACATCTTCTCAAGGACGATTCCTTTAGCGTGAGAAGAACCAGCAAAAGGCTTCTTCCACTCGTTTCCTTGGTGACTCTTCTTGTACTGCTTGTCTGCCCACCTCTGATTAATCCTAAGCCTTTTCAGCTTGCGCCCAGCTCCCATACCACGTGTCTTACTGTATAGATCAAACGACAACAACACATTGAGGTTTAAATGACATAAAGTCAGAATCTTTATTAAAGAAAACTAGACATGAGGCATTGTATATTTGTATTGTCACATTAAAGTTCTAACATTTGTCTGAAAATCAGTAAAGACCAGCATTGCATCCTTGTGATTAACACAGCACTAGCAACCAGATTCACCATTTCCATTACGTTTATAGAACTAAGACGTGAATCCAACCGGAAGACTAAATCAGAAAACAGCGAGAGAACAATCCTAAACCCGACAAAGACATATGATGAAGTTCACTAATCATTACGTTCATTTAAACCATGAGAAAAGAAGAAACATAAACACTCGAGAATAGAGATGAGAATTGAAACAAAGGATCCAGGAGAGGAAAGCATACCCCATGTTTGCGACGGCGAGTGAGTGAGAACAGAGGCTGGCTGCAACTGCTGAAGGCGAGAGACTGTGAAGCGGAACCCTAAAGCTAAGAAACTATTTATATATAGTGGTCGTCATTTGTTATGCAATCCGGTCTGGTATAAACCGGTTTGCTATTAGAAGACGGATTGGTTAAAATTATAATTGGATTCTTATAATTGGTTTCTTTCGTTCATCCTAATAATGTTTGCGTTTTGTTTGGTTAAGGTTGTCATGTTCTACCTCTTTTTTTGGTGTTTCTTTTAATTTTGAAAAACATAATTACGTTTGTTGAGAAATTACAATTTGTGATTGACAGTATAAGATCAAAACCGATTAAAGATACTGGAAAAAAAAACATTAGAAAGTTTACGATTGACAGAGACTTATTACACTGCACATTCTCATAACCAACATTGCTTTACTTGCATATATATAGTTGATAAAAATCTCAGAACACCACCATACTTGGCGCAAAAATGTATAATAATGGTAAATAAAATTAAAAAAAAAAAGACACCTTGGTTACTCACACGGATGTTTTCACCGCCTTTAGAACGTTGTTTTCAACCTTGGCCGGCCCTGGTGATCGTCTAGGTTTGGGTGCAGGAGAAGCCCGCTTCTTTGCTGGTGCTTTCTCCTGTAAAACACCATTTCCTTCTTCCTCTGTGGTTGCAGCAGCAGAAGCGACGCTTGATGAGCTCTGGGCCTTGATCTTGCCGCCACGTGGTGGTTTTGTGGGAACCATGTTGCGACGTCTAGCTAATGAGCTAGACAGCCCTTCGTCATCACTTATCGATGACCTTGCAGCAATGCTGTTGTGCCTAAGGTTCTTCTCAGAGTTCTTGGCTATTTTATCGGATGGTTTTGTAGGAACCATGTTGCGATGTCGAGCCGCTGAACTAGCCAACAGCCCTTCATCATCACTAAACGATGACCTTGCAATGTTGTGCCTACGGTTCTTTTCCGAGCTCTTGGCTATTTCATCGGCTAGTTTTGTGGGAACCATGTTGCGGAGTCGAGCCGCTGAGCTAGCCAGCCCTTCGTCATCACTAACCGATGACCTTGCAATGCTGTGCCTAAGGTTCTTTTCCGAGTTCTTGGCGATTGCATCAGTGGTCTTGGGTCTTATGGAAGGTGGGGTTGGCTTGTTCTTTCTTGTGGTGGATGATGATGATGTTGATGGATTATTTGGTAGATTTTTGCGGATTGAAGATTTTGCTGTTTCTCCTCCATGTGAGTTAGTGTTAGTTGAGGTCTTAACCGATGGCTTAACAGTGCTGGTTTGTTCTTTCTCTGAGTTCTCCCCTGGCTGCTCAGCTGTCCACCTTTCTGACCAGCTCCAACCCCAAGTGAGGTTATTAGGATCTATGAACATAGTAGTGTTTGTAGGTTTCAAGTGTTGCTGCAAATATGACCCAGACATGAATGATCATTAGGCATTAAACCGTACTAATCCAATTGTGATTATACAGAAACCTGTAATACTTTAGGTACACATGAAAGTAAGTACCAGATGTGTGGATGCACTAGCCAATGCCTTATCTCTTCTCATTGTTGCCTCACTATTCAACAAACCTGCTTCAACTTTTTTCTTGGACTGATTGCTGAGCTTCCGATTACCCCCACCATTCTACAGAACAAAGAGCAAACATCTTTAGATATATATATATATATATATAACAGCGTTATATATATATAACCCTTCAAAAGCTGAAGATCCCATCAGAAGATGTGACTGAGTGAGCAAAAACTATGGGCAGCATAAATGAAAAATTGCATATGAGATTATACAAAAGTGAGAGACCTTGGAGCCTGCTATATCTTTGGCATGCTTCTGAAGGAGTTGCTTATGGCGAGCCTTATTCTCATTTGACATCCTGATTCTCCTAGAATAGATCTGTGACTGTACACAAGTGTAAGCCTGCATAGATTTAATGGTATGTCCAGCTTGCCGTTGTACAACCGATCCTTCCATAAACAACTTAAGTCTGGCCAATCTCTTCATCCTTTTGGCTTCTTTTCTTGCCTACATTGTAGAAATGATCAAAGTTAATGTAAAATAAACAACACAGCTTTGAATCTAGCACATACCAAATGTCCTCTAAATGTAGACTGGATAGAAACTGCAGCTGCATCTTCCTTTGACTTCACTGGAGACTTGTCAGGTGTAGCTGGCGGAGGAACAAACTCAGGAGAAGATGGAGTTGAATCTTCTTCAAGAGCATCATCTTCTTCTGCTTCTGAAGGAGGATGAGACAGATGCTTTATCTTCTTCTTGTGTTCATAGTTGACCTCATCAACTCTGACCTCAAACTGAGGAGGAGAACTTCTTGATCTTGTTATCAATACAGGGTAAGATATCTCAGTCTCCTCCTCCTCCGCTTGGTGTTTCAACTTCTATAACAAACAAAGAAAAAAAAAACATCAAATGAAGAGCATATGATATTTGACATTAGTATATATGAAAGATTAAAGTGCTGCTAACAGATGATACCTTTACATCGGGGCTAAAAGCCTTCTTTACATTCTCCAGCCATTTCGCTTTCTTGACCATTTTTTTACCTTTTTTGATCACTGAGAGAAACACAGGATTAAGAAGATAAATCAAACCGTGTAGAAGAAGAAGAAGCTCTAAATTCAACTTATAAATCTTTCTTTCTCCATCAAAGAGTAAATAATAATTAAGAATTTGAATCCGTCAAGTTTGACATCTTTGCTGACTTGAGAATAAATACTCCGACCACGTTGTCAATGATACAAAGCTGAGAGTCCATTGTTGTTTGTGTCTATTGTGAGACCCCACTAACTGGCAACCTCCTGTGGGGGCCCCACCTTGGGTTCGTTATTTTAACAGCTTTGCCGCCGCTCTTTTTTTTTATTAGTACATTCCTCTGTAATGCACGAGCCTTGCTTTTGATATCATATTTCTCTTTTGGGTCAAATGATATTTAGATTGTATTGATAGGTATGGTATACCAAACTTTTGTTTTAATCATTAGAAATAAAAATATGCTGTTGTATATTTATAACTAATTCAAAGATCTAACACCAAAATTTTAGAATTTAGACATCTTATCATTGTCAAATGACATGATCCATGACGCAACCTCACGCCCTGGAGATGTCATTGTGTTGGCTCTTTTGTAGCTTCTTCAGTTCCTGCAAAAGCAAGTTTTTGCTATAGACGGTTTACAGATGCTGTTTTCATGTATGAATGTCATAATGTGAGATACTCTCGCTGCAGGACATGTTGTGAAGTATAAAAATAACACTTTCGGCCAATGATCTCACGAACAGAAAATCATGCATTATGCAACGTGCAAAACATGAACCAGGACCTCTCAGTCTCATGGAGCCAACATAATCAAGCTGAGAATGAGGCAAGAAATTTTCATACTCCTCTCACTAGTCTAAAGATTTATATTGTTAGGTTCAGTAGAAGAAGTAATAGTTATGAATTTGTGATTCTATAGTTCTCTTGTAATGAACTAAACAGAGAAACACATGCAAAAGCTATTTCAAGTTTGGAATGACATTATCTCAGTAAAGCTTATAGAGTTGTGGATTCATTTTCAGTTCAAGAAGCATCATGCTAATATCTTAAAATACACAGCTAAAAAAGAGTCTATTTCTGCAAAGTGGGTAATCTGCTAAAGTATCATCTCAAGTAAACAAACAACAGGTATCTACTCGCCAGGAACTTGAACGCCTTGCTTGAGCTTCTCTTTCTTCATCTTCTTCTTAGAAACCGGCTTCTTCTTCCTCGGAGGCAGATTCTTCTGCGCGTATGTGTAAAGGATGAAGTTTCCCACAAGGAATGCAACTAGCAACCCTCCAATCACAAGAAGTACGATCAGTCCAGGGTTAAGCCCTTTGCTTTCAATCTTTCCCTGTTTCATCGTTTTCTATCAGCAACTAGAAATCAAATCCAGATGAAAAAAGGACACAACAAAATCGAGCGAGAGGAGGACAGAACACAAAACATATGCTTTGATCATCCCTTGGCAAGATCAGATATAAGAAGTGACACAAGTTCTCAACAATAACAAAACTCAAAAGGAATGAAACTCTCCAAGGACCAAAACTTTACCGATTAAGGTTACAAAACCATGCTAAAATTTCGTTTAATATGATAATCTCACGCGTTACAATCATGTGAATGGACTCAAAATGAATCTTTAGAACCATAACGTCATCATGCATTCAACCAAGAAGAATAGAGTATGATCATCAGACCAAAAGCAACGCTGAAGAAGATAACGAGATTTGATCTTAGTCTACACAGAGTCAAATGCAGATCTAGCGATTCATCATTGAAAGTAACGAGATTTGAGCTCAGAGTTCGAACAAGGAAACATACAAAGTAGAACAAACATATTCAGAGAGTGAAGACTAGATCTTACAGAGAATTCATCAGCCATGGCTACGAGAGATCCGCACCAGTCGTTGCCGGAGACAGTTGTGAAGACTGATTCTCTAAGAAGACTCACCAATAAATAACAGAGACCATTGCTACCAGTCCACGGGGTTAGTTTAGTAATATATAAAATATTTGGGGTGCATGTGAAATAAAACAAAAGTAAGGGTGCTGTTTCATAAATATTTTCTTCAGCAGATTCTGACAGGAACAGAAAAGAGAGATTTGTCTCCTTGTAAGAGAATTGAAAGAAGAAGATGACAGTGATCGACATTCTCACTAGAGTTGACTCGATCTGCAAAAAGTACGACAAGTACGACGTCGACAAACAGCGTGAAGCCAATATCTCCGGCGACGATGCTTTTGCTCGCCTCTATAGCGCTTTCGAGACTCAAATCGAGACAGCTCTCGAGGTGTGAGTTTGATTCAAAAGCTCTGTGCTTTTTGACATTGCGTTGAATAAAAAGGTTTCATCTTTCTTTGAATGTGATTTTTGATTTTTTGGCAGAAAGCTGAAATTGTTACAAAGGAGAAGAACAGAGCTTCTGCTGTTGCAATGAACGCTGAGATTCGTCGGACCAAGGCTAGATTGTCTGAGGAAGTTCCCAAGTTGCAGAGACTTGCTGTTAAGCGGGTATATTTACTATTCATGGATCAGCTTCTTAGTTATATATACAGAAACCTCTATAGATTAATAATGTTCAAAATTATTATTTTTTAATTAATTTAGAGTGATATACTAATCGAACCAAAAATTCAATTTAGGACTATAAAATTATATTATTTTATAGTGATATTTTGTGTATATTAATTTATAGAGGTTCTACTGTATCAGTAGTTGTTTGAGCGGAAGCAAAATCATGTCTGAAAGGATATCAAACTTGGTGGCAATGTGTGTATTGTTTTTTTAGGTTAAGGGACTTACAACTGAAGAGATTACAGCGAGAAATGATTTGGTACTTGCGCTTCCGGCTAGGATTGAAGCTATACCTGATGGGACAGCGGGTGGTCCTAAGGGTAGCAATGCTTGGGCTCCTTCAACAACATCTCGTCCTGATATCAAATTTGATTCAGGTGATTGTTGTTTAGTTCTGTATTTTAGAAGCTGTTTTATCTTAGTTTTTTAGTTCGAGATTATTAAGTCACCGTTATTGTGGATATATAGATGGGCGTTTTGATGATGATTACTTTCAAGAGTCAAATGAGTCCAGCCAGTTCAGACAGGAGTTTGAGATGCGGAAAATTAAGCAGGCAAGTGATATTTTTGCATTGTTCAGTTAAGCTCTTGTGGTGTGTATGTATATGACTTGTGTACTTGAGTATTTATCAGGACCAAGGTCTGGACATGATCTCTGAAGGTTTAGATGCTTTGAAGAATATGGCGTCTGATATGAACGAGGTTAGTTTGTTAAAATGCATCTCCTAACACACATCCCTTATTGAGCTGATGAACCTTGTCAACACGACACTGGTAAATGCAGGAACTGGATCGACAAGTTCCTCTGATGGATGAAATTGACTCAAAGGTAGGATTCATACTACACGGCCCATTTCATTTCCTATTCTTGAACTCATCAGTTTGTATAATCTGAACTCACTGAGATCGCTCACAGGTGGACAGAGCAACATCGGATCTTAAGAACACCAATGTTAGACTTAAAGATACTGTGAACCAGGTTATCTTTGAAACTTTTCCCTCATACTCTCAACCACATTGGCTTGTTGTTGATTCCTAACATTGAAAAAGCATGGCCCTTTTTTTTAACTGCAGCTGAGGTCAAGCCGGAACTTCTGCATCGATATTGTTTTGTTGTGTATTGTTCTTGGTATCGCTGCATACTTGTACAAGTAAGTTTCTAATACATACGTAAAAGAAGCATAGCGATACAGTGAAAAAAGCTTCCCTTAACGAAACAAACCTTTGTCCTCTGCAGTGTACTGAAGTAATGAGATGAACACAAAAGGATCACCACTACTCTCTCTCTCTTGCCCTCTGCTATTACCGTTTCTTACCCGAGTCAGTGTGTGTGTTTGCTTGTTACTTTCTGTATCTCTATGATCTTTCTACGGAAGTGTCTTCCAAGAGTTAAGACTATTGAAGTTGTTTCTTCCTGCAACATTGTCTTATTTCCATGTTGTTCATGTCCATACATGATGAATGTATATGTATTCCTTTGTACTTGTATTTTTGTACAACAAAGTACCAAAAATAAGCCTAACACACATACACTCACATAAGAAAACCACCCAGAAATAATCTTTAAACTCTTCCAGATACTATCACTACTTGATCCACATGTGACATGACCAATCTGTTCTCACATCTCTAAATAGATGGATATCCACTAAGATGTCTTTGATTTGATACCATAAACCGCTACTGAAACATGCCATCAGCATTCGTGACCTCTGGCTTCAGTTTCGTGATCCCTAGATGCTCTAACCTGCTGTCTGAGCTGGTGGTGGATTCACCTGACTACTGCTTGGAGGTTCATCTGCTCTTTGGATTCTCCTCCATTTTGAAAATTCGGCTAGACCTGTTTTCCCGCTCATGGTAAGCCCAAACCCAACCAATGTGGCTAAGAGAATGGACACAACCGGCTTCATGTGAACCTGCACAAGTAACCCATCATAGACTATGAGATAAAACACGAAGCATAGAATCTTGTTCTGTTCTCGAGAGAAATTAAAACTCTTACCAATGTGAAGAAAATGTGAGAGAAAAAAACTACAAGAGCGAACTGAACTGTGGCGTAAATCCAGATATATTGCTTCTTCACTACACAACAAATGAACACAAGATCAATAAACTGATAGGGAGCAAGTTCTTTACTGTAAGGAACTTGTACCCATTGTTGTTGTCGTCATTGATGCAAGAAGACCAAGAACGCAAGAGAATGGTAAAGATATTGCAATGGCGCCGGATTTCATTTTCGTAAGCTGTTAATGATACCAGGACAAGAAGAATGTTACATAAGCTTGGTAGAGAAAAGTTTTCAGAATCTTAAATTCACTAAATCTTTACCAGAAGCTGCTCGAGGAAACAGAAGTATGCAAGCATGCTAACAATGACAAGTACTGGAACATCCTTCCATATACTGAAATGCAGTGACTACCAATCAATAACATCCATAAAAAAAAATCGAATTTCTTTTCAAGGGATTTTTGACTTGCCTGTAATGAGAAGCCTCGGTATCATCAGCTCCAAGACCCTGAGAGTTCTGCATGCGAAGAAGGGTCACAGGGAGATTCTGAACCTCTTGCTTGCAGACATCACAAGTTCGGTTTCCTTTAATGGTGAACCATTTGATTGTACATTCTTTGTGTGCAAGAGCTAATTCACCTTTACACATACATTCCATCTTGAAGGCATCTGAGTCTTCTCCCAATTCTACCATGCAGATTCTGCACACAGCTTCTTCTTCAGGAACATCTTCTCCTCCATCAACATCCGCGTCTGAAACGTTACCACCAATATAAGCCTAACCAGAAAATACCAACGTTTTCATGTCTGTTGGCTCTAAAATATGCAAAAAGCTCTAACCGTTAAGTTTAAGATTATTCCTTGCTGGCGTCATGTTTGGAGTAGGAATCACCCTGAAAACACCTGCTTGCCTTAGACTTCCATCTTTGTTGAATGCTGGAACAGAGCGTGATCGGTGAATAGGCTTTGGAGGCCCTTTCTTCTGTTTGAGATAAACATTCAAATTAAATTTCTGGCCAATATCAACAATGAAGTAAAGCAGAAAATAACCTGATTAGCTAAAATTATCTTACAAGCAAAATGCATTACTCAAACATACTCTAGTGAGACCAAGGACAAGTACAAGACAAGAAAACGTCTCTTGCCAACGAGATAACAAAGCAAAGCACATTACAATTCACATGAGAACCTAAATGAAAAGACCATTAGAAGTTACTTAAACATTCTCTAGTGAGACCAAAGCGACAAGAAAACGTCTATTGCCAACAAGATAACAACACAAATCATAGTATAACCATACTCACCATAGAAGTAACAGGATCAACCACATATCTCCCATGCGTGGACCCAGGATTCGAGTGAGCTATAGGGGTAACAGGCAATGACTCAGTTTTCTTCAATCTTGGAGTTAAAATATTACTAAGAGTCCACGTGGACCTGTCCCTGCCATTCCCTTCAGAAGGAGAGGATGCCCCAAAGCCCAAATCCGAAGCTTTCTCGATATCCACGTTCCTGTTTTTGAAACTTAACTTTGGGACTAGATTCTTCAGACTATTATTAGGTTTGTTTCTTGAAAAGGAAGAGGAAGGACTAAGGGATGCACCACGTTGGCCGATCCTAGGACTCGACATTGGAGAAAAGTTTACTCTCTTAGCAACAGGGCTTGATGTTAAGGATGCATTACGTTCCTCCCCGGTGTCTTCGAGTGTTCCCAACACAATGCCTCGTCTCCATATGTCTTCTTCTTGTGCAATCTCAGGAGAATCTTTGACCTGTAACATCATTATCATTTAAAATTCAATATGAACCACAGATACAATCATTAAAAATTTAAAAGGCTAATATTTTTCATAAACAGGCTCTATTATTCAAGTTATAATCCTAAATTCAACGTACCAATCAGATCAAACACCAGAGAAAATAATACAGATTAGGAAAAAAAATCTACCCTTTGAGGTGGAGAATGGAGAGAGGCATGTTCTTCTACGCGAGGTTGATCTCTACCATCCATCACCGAAGTGAAAACGAAAGCAGAGAAGAATCTAAGCTACAGAATCGT